AACAAACACTCAAGTCTAGGGCATGGCTGGAACCTCATCTAACCCAGCTCTGCCCTGTCTGTAGAATTGGAAAACTCAGCAGAAATCTCTAGGGTCACATGGGAGAATTCCAAACCCACTGTTTCTTCTGGATCAAGGACCTTCAGGGAGATGTTGGGGGCTAATGAGGGAGTTGATGGATTCCCACTGGTCAAGCTGCAAAAGCTTCATCTGAAGACCATGGAAAGTCCATGGACTTGTTTGGACCGTGGTCCCCGAGTCAGTCACGTATTGCCAACTGTGTCCTGCCTCGCTCTTCTCAGTGGGTGTTGCAATTTGGCTTGTTTGTTCTTGATACAAGAAAGAGTTGAGGAACCAGTAGAGAAGCCTCAACTCATGGTCTCTCCCTGGGCAAAGGTTTCTGGAACAAGATATGAAGGGTGTGGCTTTATCTAAGGCAATCATTCTCCTCCAGTGAAGATGCCAGCCTGCCTGGCTCTCAGGGACGGGGCCGTGTTCAGAGAGTAGATAAACCATGGGAAATGCAGAGGTGGAGTGCAGGCAGCCAGAAGTATGTGTCTCTTTGGCTGGCTGTGTTGAAGAACCCAGCAGCTGATTGGAGGAGAAGCAAAGAGAGGTGGTTGTAGCAGAAGTGAACAAAGACCCTGAGTTTATAGCCTTAGAAAATGCCCATGAATCTAAGAAAGCTGCACCCCAGCGTCCATGCAGCAGGAGGCCCTGCTCCTGCCCTGGGAGGGAGGTAAATCACTTTCCCTGTAGGCAGTTCAGCCCAACCACAAATATTTATGGGCTCTGGGAAGAATGCAAAGATTCACATGTCAAGTGACCAATAATGAACATTTATAAATCAAACTATCAAACTGCTAAATAAAATACATTCTATCCTCCTAACTTGAGCATATATACTTGCAAAACAGCCTGGAACCCAAGAAAATTTAGGATCTTGGACTCCTGAATGTCTCTCAGCAGAATGAGACAGTACAGGGGGTTCAGGCCTTGGCCGCAGCCCACTCCTCTTTCTCTTCCTACACCCAAGACCATCCTTGCACCCAGGGTCTCACGTGCTCCCCCACAGGACCTTATACCTCTAAGCTTTGCCACACTCCTGCATCTGCCACCCCACGGGCCTAGAATCCACACCCTGGCAGCATGGTGTCCCCTTGATGGTTAGACTCAAGGAAGAGATTCCCGAAGGCCTAGGAGGAAGGCCAGGGGAAAGTAATTCTGAAGTCACAGGAGCTCAGAGAATGGTCTAAATGGGCAGAAGGGACACAGGTCTGGCCGGAGAACAGACCTCTTAAAGCCAGGCCCAGCAGGACACCTCCTGCCTGGGTCTTCAGCTGGCACAGAGATGGGAAAGCCCAAAGGAGTTTCCAGTTGGCTCCAAAGCTCTCAGATTAAGAGAGAGAGTCAAGGAAACAAACTAACCCTGATCCAGAAGGGTGGAAAAAGATCCCTGCAAGAGATGCAGAGATGCCCATGCAACCCTGCAACTAGAAAACAGAAATATAAAAACTCAAGGCACATCTGTGTGCATGTGTGCATGTGCATGTGCATGCATTTGGGTATGTGCAGGTATGTGTGTACATGCACATGTGCATGCAATTGTGATTATGTGGATATGTGAACATACATGTGTGTATGGTGTGTACATGTCAGTATACACGTGGATGTGGGCAGATGTGCATGTGTGTGAGATGGAACATGTGTGCATGTGTGCCTGTGTGTGAATGTGCATATACTCGTGTGCAAGTGGGGGCATGTGGGTGTGTGCAGGTGTGCGTGTGCACGTGTGTGTCCATGTTCGTGTGTGGATGTAGGTGTGTGCATTTGCATATGGAGGAGGCACATGTGTATGTGATTACCCCCCCAGTAATCTGCCCTGGGCTGGTTTCCCCTTGCTGAGTTGTCTCAGATGCTGCCCTCAGCATCTGAGCTTTGTGGACAGGGTGCACACTTGGTGCTGACTTCCACAGTGAGCCTGAGGTTGATTCTGCACTGGGCAGTGATAGAGGCCACCTGCAATTTTTAAAATTATTGTTATTTTAAGTTTACCATAATAATTGTACATATTTATGAGGTACAGTGTGATGTTTCAATACATATACACATTGCGTAATGATCAAAGCACGATAATTAGCATATTTATCACCTCAAACATTTATCGTTTCTTTGTGATGAGAACATTCAAAATCCTCTCTTCTAGCGATTTTGATATACAATACCTTATTGTTAACTATAGTCACCCTCCTGCATAATAAATAAAACACCAGAACTTATTCTTACTTTCTAACTGAAAGGTTGGTCAACAGGTACAAAGTCACCTCCATTTTCTTAAACGAGAGGTTGGCAGATATTTTCCATTCATTTTCTGGCCCCTGCTGTCTGTGTTCTCGGAAGCAGGTTGAACTGGAACCACAACCCTTGCCGTGCCAAGGCCCAGCCTCTGTCTGCTCACATGCCCGGGCTCCCCTGCTGGCCACTCCTGCAGCAGGCCCCTGGTCCTGGGTCTGTCTCCTTCCCACCACCCACAGAGGGGAACACTGCTCATTGATGTCTTTCTTTTATTTTCTCTCTACTTTCTAGACCAGATACCTGTTTTTCTAAAACATTCTTCTTGTTGGACTCTGTGCTAGTTGTAAGCACATTCTGAAATTTCAACTCTAATTTCTAAAACTTTAGGTCAATTTTGGCCAAACACATGACCTTCTTTTATACATTTGTGAGGGAAATGTGTATATTTTGTGTATAGACTATGGAAGTAGAAATATATCTAATTTACTTAAGCACACGATCTTCTAGTTATACCTGCCATTTCCTTATTTATCATCCAGAATATCCGTCAGTGGTGGAAAAACAGTGGCAAAAATCTCTTTGTGATCCCGACTTTGTC